TTTAACATTTCTTAACAATTTTATAATATTTGATCTTGAAAATTTGTTATTGACTTTAATTATCTGATTGCTATCACTAGCGATGTGTCAATAATATAAATTTAATATGTATTTATTATTAATAACACTTTTTAATCTTGTGCTACGTCATATATGTGACGTAAATAAAATGTGATAAAACATGAATATGATATTATAAGTGTCTAAACATAGAATAATTAATATCAAATTTAGTAAATTATTTATTTACTTCATAAAAAAATTAATTTCTCATACAAACCGTTACGAAAGTACCGAGATTCACTATCATAATGTCTGCGCTGATAAATCTGATTGAGAATAAGTACGAATATCGAGTATGAGTATACGATAATCACTAAAAGTTTTTTATTTACGTTATTGTTGTTAAATATTACTCATTCTATGTTATGAAGACTGATAATTTTTAAGAACTCTTAGATAAAATTATGAACTCTATATTATATACGCACGCACGCACGCACGCACGCACGCACGCACGCACACACATGCACACAAACACGCACACATGCACACACACACATAGTACCTGCCAAAAGTTCCGGACCGACTGAATACATCTCGGAAAGTATGCATTTTTGAGAAAAATGTTTTAGACAAAAATTGTAGGATTTAAAAAAATCTAAAAAATATTTAATGATTTTATCAATTTAACCTTGAATGGCATCGTCAATGTCAGGTTAAGGTCACATTGATTTTTTTAATTGGATACCTATTTTAATTAAATCCTATTTTTGATTCCAGAATTTAACAGTCGATGTCAAAAGCTTTTCAAAACGTTATTATATAAGTTCATTTTCATTAAGTACTTTTCGAGTTATAAGACTTGAATGTTATAGTATCGCCATTATTAATATTACTCAAAGTGTCCAACGAGTAAAATCTCTTGAATGTTGTTCAGGATCATGTCCTGGATAATATTTGTTAAGATCAAGGTCATTGGAAATTGTTTCTCTTATTTTCAATTTTAGATTATGAAATCAAAAATAGAGTGTCCAATTTAAAAAAATTAATATGATTCTGATTTGACATTGACGACGCCATCCAAGATTAAACTAATAAAATTATTAAATATCTTTAAATATTAAATATCTTTTATTATTAAAAATTATTAAATATCTTTAAAGATCTTTTTGAATCCTATAATTTTTTTCTAAAACATTTTTCTCAAAAATGCATACTTTCCGAGATATTCAGTCGGCCCGGAATTTTTGGCAGCCACTGTCTATTATATGCTTTGTATGTAATACATATGTATATATGTTTATAAATGTACGTATCAATTTTTTTCTTTTTATAATAGTAGGTATAACTTGATTTTTTTCAAACAACTTGATTGATAATTATGAAAGAACTAGAATTATTTTCAGTTTGATTTCATTATCAGCAATAATAAAGATATAAATTGATGCCAAAATAGAAGCTACTCTTGCATATAAAAAACAGTATTGAATGATTCAAAAGCCATTTGAATTAAATTGAAGCACATTCAGAGTCAATTTGAAGAGACTATTAAATTTGTCTTTTTTATGCTTTTATAGTATTAATGCTTTATAGTATTAAAATAAAAATATAGTGCACCATTAAAAAAAAGAGATAACTTTAATATAAATTTAAAAAATTTAGAATTAGACTTCTTTTGAATATTTTCAGATTTTATATAAAAAATTATAAAGATAATGTATTTATGCTTTTTTTGTATATTCTACGTTTAGCAGTTATTTCAAATACTATTTATATAGAAACATCTTCTATACATATATGCGAGTAGGGAAATAGCTTTAATTTTTAAATATGAAAAATGCTGAAGATATTAATATAGTTATTGATAGTAGTTATAATAAAATGTTTTTATTGTAATATATTTATTTGCAAGCATTTACAGTTATATATATTATTTATTACAATAAAATATCAACAGTTAATGTAATTTATAAATATTTATCATCCAAGGAGAAATAATAGGAATTGAGTAATAAAAAAAGTTTATTAACATTATTCATTTGGAATAGAATTTGTATTTTTACTGTTAATATAAATTCTTTGTAATATTATTTTAATTTTGTTTCTCATTATAAGCTTTTGTTTCTCATTTTAATATTTTTTCTTACACAACACAAATAAAATATAAAGCCTTCCGCAAATATTTCATATATTATGTAAAAATAAATTAGATAGTATTAATGATATGTTTATATCATTGATATTAACTAATATGTACATAATTTATCTTTAACATACCTTGTATATCGATTCATGGAATATAAAATACAATTTCTGTTAATCAATCTTGTTGAGCACGTTTTAATATATTGTAAGCCGAATACGATGTTTTAAGCAACTGTAAAAAAATTGTTAATGCATTTCATATTATTTAAAACATTTATAAAAGAAATTAAACGTATTTTTATTATCAATTAATACTGACAGCTACAAACGAGTCAAGATTTAATGTAATGACAATTGCGCTCTTAAATTCAATGGGAATCATTGAACGTCTCATAATTAACAGAAAAGATTTTTTATTTTTGTTATCAAGCTCCTGCCACTTTATATTGTATATACAGTTTGCTACTTTGGTACTCTGTAAGTAAATGTTTTAAGCATTGAGTATTATTAAAAATGATGAACCATGTATTATGTAATAATATTTTTTTTTTATTTTGAGACTTTTGTATCTTTATACTTAAAGTTTTAGTAGTTACAAAAGAAAGAATTACAAAAGAATAAAAAATAGTTTATTTTTTTATATATATAAATATAAGATCATAATATATGTAGATAAATTATGTACTCTTAATTTGAGTTCATTTCCAAACCAACAATAGAGGAAGATCTGTGATAACATGCAGGCCGTATATAGTATGAGTGTAACAAGACTTCCATTAATCATCAAGAGAGAAATAGCAGCCAATTTATATAAATTAGCACACACTACTAGCATGCTTACTGCGAACTGGAGAGCAATTATTTTCGCAAACCTGCGATTTACTATATGAGCGTATCTACGATTAAATAAAAAAATTTTAATCTGTTTAAAAATCATTTATCAATCTCATCGAATATCTTTCATGACATTCTTTGTTAGATAAACGATTTAATAATTTCCGAATTATTTTAAGATGAAAATTTCCAAAGAACATACAAACAATTTTATGCAGGATGATTATATTGTAAATTTTTGAAATAACAGAGTGGTTTTAAAAACTAACTCATATATACGATTGTGGTGACGTACACAATCGCGAAGAATATGTTTTTCGTATAAGATTTTCGTCAATCGGTATTCCAGAATCTCGAATTGACAGCAGATCTCCTGCAGGAGTCCGGTTATTAGGCTATCACAGGCAACGTTTACAGCCGCACAGATTGACATACCTATCATTTGATGAGTAAACATCAACAAAAATATAATAGGTAATGTGTAGTCGAATGGCACCCATGCTTTATATGTCAAGTTTCCTTCCATAAAATCCATAAAGATAGCATTTAAAATTATGCATATGACTGTTACTTGGACGAGGCCATAATACCATACTGCGTATTTCCTATAAAATGTATTTCTTATGAAAATATTTTCTAATACTCAGCTATGAAAAATTGTTACATCCACTTGTTTTTGAAAAATTTACTTAATACTCTTATTGCACTATTTTTCTTAAATTATATTACTATTTATATCTGTGTTGTTTGTGGAATATTGATGGAATATTGACATTGGAAGAATGCTTATAAATCATTAATATCCCACAAATAATACTCACAGATAATAATTAAAACATAATAATAATAATTAAATTAATAATAATAATAATAATAATAATAATATTTACGTTCAGACAATAATCATATTGTGTTAAAAAATATATATGTACATTGTCTTAAAATTAAATAATTTAGATATTTAAAATATTAATACATTCTATATTGTTATGTAATTTATTTAATAACACAATGCAATAATGGAGTTAAAATATTCTAATTATTTAATTATGACTGATGAATTTATTTGTGTAATTCGAGAATAATATTTACTTTATCGTTTTGTCATATTTTTGTCGAATTATTACTTCGCATGATTCTGACGGTTTGAAAGGTTTCTTCTTAAGAACATTGATTATCGTTATGACGTGTTCCTTAATTACCCACATAGTAGTTATTTTATAGGTTGCTATGAATACCGTCAACGTCATATATATATTATCGCTTATTTCGTCAAAATTATTAATATTTAGTATGATGTTCACAACTTGCGATATTGTAAATGTGCATAACAGACAAATTAACAATATTCTATAACTGTTATACATCATATATTTAAATAAAGATGTCCATGTAAGCGGTTGCCAGCATCCGCTGACTGCGCAGAGTGTAAGTGTAAATTCCAGCACGATCATTCAAACTTTTTAAAATTTAATTTTGCCTATATGTGAATTACTCATAGTATTATATCTATATTTATACCTATGTATACGTTCAATATCATATACATTTAAAATAAAAAAAATAATAAAATTTTTTTTTCTGACATATATTTAATATGAAACTTAATTTCACTTAAATAGACTTCAAAATTGAATTACTTAAGTGTTCAATTGTCATTGACATTATGCAGGTAAAAACATTTCTATTAACAAGTTGTCTTTTTAAATAAACCAAACTTTGATATATAAAATGTAAAGAACTTATAATTTTTAAATAAACATAATAATTGTACAATTCTATTTTGTAATATATAAAACTTATAAATTCATAATATTTATTATACTTACAAAGTGATCAATTCTCACTTAACTATATCACATAAAAAAAATTGCAAATATCTTAACAAATAATATCTTAACAAATAGTACTATTTGAACATTACTATTTCGTAAAAAATTGTATGGTTACATCATATATTCACACTTCAAATAGCAATAGACAAATTTTACAAGAGATCGGAATATACCCAGAATATACCCGTCTATACCCTCACGACAGTACTTTATGATATTGTAGAGTACTCGTTCATCAAACCCCTTTTTATGTACCTCTGTTATTACCGTAATACCAAGTTTGCGACGGCGCGGAATATTATTTTTATGAGGCAAGATAGCTACAATATTTGTCACGCGATGGGGTAAATAACATTTCCACAAGATAAAAGCAATGTGGCTTTTAAAGGTTCATCAATATAGAACATCAGATGTAAGGGATTTCTATGAAATATTCGTCATCTCTTGTATTTTTGATCAAAAATATATTTTTAATCACTGTTAACTGCACTATTCAATGCTTGACATGTAACATCACGTACCTCATTTCGATTTCTATTCATAGCATAATAAACATTAGCGAGAAAGTGAATTATAGAAGCTAGTCTAACAGTGATCATTTCTACGATATTAAGTTTTTTATATATTACGATAATTGTAGCAATTAAAACAATATTTATAAGAATTTTCGATTATATATGTGCAAAGAAAAACGTGGGTATTACTGTATGCTTATTACAGTTAATGTGAACTGCAATGATATTTTATCAATTCATCTATAATAAAATGATATCAGCTCTAATTCATAACTTAAGATTGTATTTAAGACAGTTTTAAATATAAGAATCAATTGAATATCTAGCCTATAACTCCTGTATATAATGTCATTTGATAATAAATAATTTTTATGAACAAAATTACTACTATATGTGTACTATATGTGTCATAATTTCGTAGAACAAGGTACGCAGTCATGAGTGAAAACATAAATGAAATCTTTATATTCTTATTAATAAATCGATAAGTTTGTTCGCATCGCATGTTCCAGCATGTTCTAATGCGCTCTTGCTATAGTTTCTACTCACTTCAACGAGAGTTAGAGTGAGTAAATGTTATGGTAAGAGCATTTTCTGAATATGTTAGAGAATGCGACGCGAACAAACCTTATATATGTTACGAATTATTTCTCTGATTATACTTATGTATAATCTTATACTTATGTATAATAATAATATTATATCGCTTTAGTATACAGTAATTAATAATATTATAAAATATTTTATTACTATATAAGAAAGAATTCTTCATA